GGGAAGGCAAGGCAAAGGCAAGGCCCAGTCAGAAGTCTCCAGGGGCGAGGGCGCTGACGTCGCGACGTGAGGGTTGCGTGACGGGCGGGGGAGGAGGAGATGCGGATGGGGATTGGCCGAGCCGGGAGGAGCAGGGGGTTGCGCTGAGGGGGCGCGGCGCGTGCGCGCTGAGGCCGGGCGCGCGGGGGTGGGGCGGCGCGTGTCCGCCGCGTGCGCCCGGCGGCCGTTACCCGGCGCGAGCGTGGGGCCTCTCCCGCTTCCGCCCGCTCCTGAGGGGAGCCCTGTGTTGTGGGGCTGGCGGGTGGGCCGTGACCCGCCGGGCCGGGGCTCCTCGGGAGACCCATCGGCTGCTTCCCGCCTCGGGGGCCCGCCCTGCTCTTCAAGGCCCGCCGCGGAGCCATGGAGGGACGGGAGCGGCAGCCCAAGGTGGGAGGCTGTCCCCACAGAGCGCTGCGACGGCCCTTACCGAGGAGGCTGAGGGGGGCCGTTGGAGAGGACCCCGCCTTGGGCCGGTCCTACCGGCTGAGGGAGCCTCTCAGCCCGCCCAGAGGCCCCCTGGCCCAATTTGTGCCCGACTCCCCCACGCGTGAGGTGGAGCGGCCTTCTCTCTTGGCCTGGACTGAGATGACTAAGACTTGGCCTCCCCGCACCCTAGCAAAGGGCCCTGCACATACTCTGTCATTGGGAAGGATGGAAGGAAGTCATTTAGCTTTCATCTTGGAAATTGTGTGGCTAAGTGAGTAAGACTTGAAACACCACTCTGTCTAGGATGTCCGGGTGTGTTGGCATCAACTTCCCAGCTGCTTTCCTGACTCATAGTGATGTCGAGGGAATATCTTCTGGGAACGTGAACTTCACAGTGGGTGTCTGCAGATTGCTGCCACTGGCTTTGGATACTGTAGTGGCCTTTAGCTCTGGGAAAAAAAGCATGGGTGTTTATAAACTTCACCATGGCTTTAAGTGCATTGTCAAAAGTTTTGAGGCAGGACATCTTGAAAAATAGCCTCAGACCGTCATGAGTCATAAACAATTACATGAAACATTGATTCCAATTACTTTGTTGGTTAGCTGTCAAAAGGAGCCTTTCCTACTGCTAAAGTGTGAGCCCAAAAGAGGATTACCCATCAGATAAGCATAGGTAATATAATAATATAAAAATAAGCACGTTTGTATTCTTGATTTATTTAGTATCATTTTATGCTTTGTGATTTTTATCTTGAAATCATTATATGTGTGAGTCTATATTAACATACAAAGGAAAAGTTTTTTCTGAACTTTGGAGAGTGTTTGACAGTCTATTAATTTGTGTCCATGAAAATACTGTTACTTAGTGTTTTCCATCCATAATCTTCATCCTGCTTGAAAGCAACGGGAGGTACCGTTGTCATTGCAGAAAGAGGTCAAATACTGTCTGTCTTTGTGAAGCGTTTTGTGGCTGTAACCGAATCACTGCAGTCAGGTGTTCTGGGTTGGGGAGATTTGTAACAATCCTCTTTTATGATTGTCACGCTGCATTCTCCCAATATTTCTCTACCACCATTGACATTCTGTGCGCTTACAGGATTTGATCCGGCACAGAGCAGGCCCTGAGAAATAAAAATTTGCAAACGTAACAGTTCATCTGGTAACACGGGGAATGCCGCGTGATCAATGACACTTTCCATTTTGTGATAGGAATAATTGCTGAAGCGGAGAGCAAATTCGGTAGCTCAGTCTCATTTTCGGTGCCTCCTTGGTGCACCTGGGCTCCCCTCCTACTCCCTTCAGCTGACAGGAGGTCGCCGGGAAGATGTGGCACAGAACAGCTCAGTGTGGAAGAGCGTTTGACCTTCCTTTTGTCGAAGTGCTGCCTTCCCTCGCGTTTATACTCCCGTTGCTGCTCAGGAAGCTGACGTACCTCCGCACTGCACCGTGCTGCGACTCGCAGGCTCAGCGCTGATAATAACATGCAGCTTTTGTGGTAGATAAGCTAATAATGGCCACTAAGTACAGTGCTGTGTCTGATCCTAAGCTACACTTTTGCTGAATTTCAGCAGCTGCTAAAATATTTTCATCGTGTTATTATGGGCAGAAGTATTGGGCGGAAGAATGCGAACCTGACGCCTTTTTGCTGCATTTAGCGTCTGCGTCACTTCTCCCTTCTCCCAAACACAGTGCTGCAAGGCTGGAGCGACCAGCTCTGGATTAGAAACTTAATACCTGTCAGAAGCAAAGTACCAAGAAACATTTCAGCTGTTAAATCTGGAACGGACTCAGTGGAAACCATGGAAAATAGCAGCAACATTTTAGGCCTCTGAAGTCTTAGATCCAGATTTAAAGACATGTCTCAGTTGGCACTTTAAAGGAAGCATTAGTTATGCAGTTATGCTTGGATTTGCCTCCCACCTCTCTTTTTATTTTTATGTAAAATTGTGAAAATGTGCTGATGCACAGCATTTGTAGTTCTCTGTGAATGCATTGCATTAGCTTTTATGGTTAAGATTGCTGTGTAAAACGTTAGATGCAGAAAGATGTTGCTGTGTAAAATGGTTAGATGCAGAAAAAAAGGTCAGCATTTCTGTTTTTTCTTTTCCCCTCACAAATTCAGCGATCCTCAAGACTTAGGCAGAGGACGTTTGGCTGAAGAACGGCTCGCAGGCATGGACTGGCAGAAGTAATGTTTGTAACGCGAGGAATCTATCCAGAATGCCACACTGCCATGAGGGGAGCATGAGCTCAGCAAGCAGCTTTCTCCTGCACTGTATATCACCGACCTGTGGGACCAACCTTTGGCAAGACGCAGTGCTCTGAATGCCTCTGCTCAGGTAAAGATTTACCTGTATGTCTCTTTCTTCCCCCACAGTAGCAGCGTGGGCTGCAGCATGCCTGTCCTGGCATACGGTGGCACCTGTTCACTCCTTGTCTCCATCCTGTAGGTATGGTGAGCCTTGCCGTGATGACCTGTGCTTCTTGGTGTATTTTATAAAGACTGAGGAATGAAGCGCTACTGCATTTGGAGGAAATGACGCAGCAGCCACTATTCATGTGGGGAAACCGAAAAAAGGAAAGCTGAAGAGAGTTGTGGGTGATACAAGAGGTAGGAGCAGACTTCCATTTCCAGTCACTCAGTGTTGTGTCTTATCCTTATTTCTTCATACCTAATTATCTCTGTTCTGTAACATGAAAGTGATAGCATGCAAAGTACTTTGGCATTTGCAGAGCAGAAGCAGAAGAACTCTTCATTTGGTGACTCTTAGGGAACTGATTTGGTAACTGCTTAAGGAAATTAGAGGAGGTGGCCTTCGGTGCAAAACAGTTTGCAGAAGGGTTCTGGTGGAGTCCTTGCCACAGCATTGGCCATGGTTCTCTTTAGGAGCTTAACCTTCGTATCAGCTTTGGGGTGCTAAGAGCTTGCTATAATTTCTGACTTCTATCAGAAGGGAGAAGTGTTATCATGCCCATTTCTCCACCAGTAATTGCCATCTGAAAGCAGGCAGTGGTGGCAGCAGTGCACAGTATTTGTGGAAGTCTTGAATTTTACGCAATGCTAGCTTGAAGTCACCTTAAAAATAATCTTTTAACTGTAGAATCAGTATAGTAATGCTTATGCTAAAATGTAAACAGTAGGATTTTAGGCAAGAGTACCAGTTCCTAGGTGGTGTGGTGTGTTGCTACTCTGTGTGAAATCTGAACTGAAGTGTGGGCTAGCGTAGGGCTGGCACCCTCTGCCTCCCCTGAGGATGCAGCAGTGTGTGTTCAAGCTGTGGCCCAGGAGAAGCTGTGCCTGCAGAGAATGAGGAGGAGGTTAAAGTCTGTATATGGTTTGACAGTACAGCTAATCTGACCTGGTGACTAGCTATTGCCAGGGGGGCTGGCCGTGGTTTACAGTCCTGAATAGTCTCCCTCCGTCTCCCATCCCTGTGCTGCTGCTGGTACATGTTTTGACACTGCAGTGGCCTGATTCAGGGACCTGAGTGGCAGGAAAGTTTCCCTGTGTTTTACAGGGATAATTTTCTGCTAATTTTGCTTCCTGAACTTGTCTCCTGAGATACCAGACAGGTGTTGGTGCTAACATAAGACAGGGTGATGGGAATGCATAGTAAGTGAGGGGGAGTAGAAATGTCCTTTTATGCAGCAGCTGGCTGTTAGGTTGTGTTATCTGTACCCTCTGACTGCATCCTGAGTCTTCATAACAGCAAATGCCACAAATCCTTGCAAGGGAATATAGGTGTGATAGATACTGCAGTAGGAGATAATAAAATCTGTTTTCTGGTTTTGGTTTTCCTATTAAAACCAGTTGGCAACACATTTGTGTGTATTTAATATAGCAACCGGTTGACTAGAGGATAAAGATAAATCAGTTTATGAACCTTAGTGCTCACAAATAGTTGTGAAAACCTTTAGTCTGTCATGTTCTCAATTTCCATCTCTCATAGTGAAGACTGTTCATGCTTAGATAGCATTCAGGCTGCCAAGGCGTGCTGGAGGGGCTGAGTAGCTAGCAACAATCTGTGTAAAAGTAGAGAGAGATTTCTTCACATGACTGTTAGCACTTGGTAGGAAAGCACGTTGTTTTAGAAGGGCCAGATATGCTACATTTGACTTCTGATGAACTATTCACAAAAATAATATTTTCAATGGATTTTGGTCTTTGCTAGGGATAGAGCGAAAAGCTGCTGGAAATTGTTTGTGCTTAGATGCTTCCTCCTTTTCCAGCCACTTCCCCATACTGAAATACCTTGATGATTTTGCAAGAACCTATTTCCATTCCAATGCATAAACATCTCAGTAAGAATCTAATTATATTTTTATGAAATATGCTGGATTATTTGAACCTACGGTCCAAGTTTTGTTGGAACAAGAACTTGGAATGGCAGATAAGAAACTTTAAAAAAACCCATCCTTTCTCATCACAGTATGATTGTAGACTCATAATTACACCAGGGTTATCTCTGTCAGTGACATTTATAAAGAACAGTTTCACAGTGGGATAGCAAGCAGTGTCTTTTCAAACCTGAAGCATCACTAGAAAATAGCAGAAATCTGATGCTGGACTGTATATTTTTATGCTATAGGATTCACTTGATGATTTATAGAAGCTCCTGTCTATAATTAAACATCAGACAGAAAGATGTCTGTCCCTCTATTGGGGACCTGCTATGAAGAAATACAGGAATAATTTGTAAATTCCCTCTTCTTTCTGAAATCGTAGAGAAACAGCTCTCTCTTATGTGACAAGGGGGAGGGGGAGGTTACTTTTCACTCATGTCAAAAAGTAACCATTCCTAGACAGCACCCAGTTAACAACAGCCCAAGGGTCTGTGCTGTGGAATCTCTTGTACCACCATTTGTGTATGTTATCTCTTACCATTGCTATTCTTGATGGAGTCTCAGTTTATTAAGTTCTGCACTGATATGTAAGAAGGTATTCTCACTGCTGAGAAGCCTACATTCTGTAAGGAAAAAAGAGAGTATGGCATCACCTACATTTCTTTTTTGGTTGTTTTGGGGTAATCTCTTAATCCAGTAACTTTTAGATCAAAATCCTGCAGGTGGTACATGAAAAATGGCCTTTTTGCAGAGATTAAATGAGGAATTGTTTGTCAAGTAATTGGGAAGGATTTTCCATGTGTCTGGGAATATGCAAGGAAAGGCATGCCAACGTGTGCGTGCTGATTCCTGTTATTCACTGGTGGATCAAGTATAGTGGATTTGGAGTGTATTTGATTTTATCAGTTATTAAAAACCAAGTAGCTTTGTTAGCTAGTGTTTCAGTTAAAGATCAAAATATCGGCACACTGCATCTTGTATATGCTAGATGCTGCTATTTTCTCCAATATATGCCATTTCTCAGTAGTCCTTGGGTCCACTTAATGAGCTGCGTTGTCACCCTGTGTAAGGTCCTGATCCAATAAACATGTGTACAGTTATCTTCATTCCTCTGCAGGGGCTTGTGAAGGAAAGCTGCTACCTACCTAAGATTTTGTGTGATAGGAGTCAAGGTTCATGATGTTTCTCTGACAATGGGGGATCCATACTGCAAATGCAATACACTGAGCATATCAATATTTAAAGTACAAAAGAAAGTCAGAGGTGAAAGATGGCAAATCTTTTTCTTCAGCATGCTATCAAAATAAGAGAAACTATTACTGTCACCCCCATGTTGAAGCTATCTGGGTGCCTGTTCAAAAGAAGTTTGGCCAACCTGCCTAAAGGGATGTTGATATTAAGACAAGAAAGAGCCAAGCATATAAAAAATAAATACCGAAATCTATCGTTATATCAAAGAGTATCCCGTTTGCACAAAGTGGCACCCTGGCTGGGACTCTCAGTATACAGTAAAAGGATGTGACCTGCACTGCACACAGAACTGCTGTTGCACTCCTGCACCTTCAACTTTTCCAGAAGTTTAGTCTAGAGATTAAACGTGTACATCCCAGAGATTAAGTACTGCTGGGATGCTCACATTAGTGCTTATGCTGGTTTACATATTGCAAAATTAATCACATTTTGTTAATAGCATTTTCCATGTGAATTCTGTGTGCACAGTGAAGGGATAAGTTCAGTCTTGGAATATTTGTACTGTAAAAAGGAAGAGTTTACTTGCTGGATAGTGGAGGCCCTGTGTTCTTAGTCCAACCCCCTTCAGCCAGCATGAAAAATACTGAAAGGAAAAAAAAGTCAAACGAAAAACCTGATATTCTTTATTATAATTTTAACAACATGAGTAAATTGAAATCTGTAAGCAAAGCAATTACGTGAGGAGGGTCTAATAAAGTTGTACAAGCTACAACCTACTTCGATTGTTGAATCAAACTGAATAAAGCAGGCTGCTTTGATGGGTTTTTAGCTTCCATGATCATAATTGGCAGTGACATCTTCTTTTGCTTTAATGGCAGTGGTCTTCTGTGGGCTGGGAATTTCATAATCAGCTGAAAGTAAATAAATAAATAAATAAAATTGATCACCACTACAAATAGGAAAAATCCTGAACTACTACTACTACTATCTTCAGTTCAGCTGGTGATCTGTTATCAGCTTTGGCAGGATCTGGTTGTGCAGCAGGAAACAAATTTGATATACCATGTCTTTTTCTAATTTCAAAATTAGTAAAAAAATATCACCCTGACCTGAGCAGAAGAGCAAATCAAAATCTGCGGTTCAGATTCTCAGAGGTTACATGACCAGTGATGATTAAGAATCTTAAAAAGGCCAACCAAGGAGCCCAGCCACTGTAAAGGATTTTACAGGTTATTCCCAGAGGACAAATGTTTAGAGTCTGAATTATGTTTCTTCACAAAAGGCACAGTCAGTGAGAAAGATTCTGTCCTTGGACTTCAGAGCAACTTGTGTGCTTAGGAAGGGACCTTCCCCAGGATCACAGCTTTAATACTTGAACTGTACAGTGGGAGGAGGAGGGATGGCATTATGTACCCAATAAACCACCCAAAACATCAGGAATCTCTGCATGGCTGAATTTGGGGTGTTCTTCCCCTTTGGCAGCTCTTCAACTTCTACCACCCAGCCTTATGAAACCTGAAAACTACCCTCCTGCTTCCAGCAACCTCACAACTTCTTCCCAGGGAGTGTGTGTTCTGTGTCCCTGTGGCACACTAGCTTTTAATGAGGAGTACCTGCTTTGTTCTCCATCCAGAAGGCAGTGATATGCAGCAATGTCTTTCTCCAACTGTTGTTTGCTGGTCAGCAGATTTTCACGATCCCGCTGCTGCTGCTCGGTCTCTACCTTGATTTCTCCCATTTCTGCCTCCAGCTTGGAAATGACAGAGCCTAGGTTCTGCAGTTCGATGTCATGCCAGTGCTTGGCATCATATAAAGAGTTCTCTAGACCTCTCTTCTGTAAGGGCAGGACAGGAGACATTACAAGTCAGTTTTCATGTGCTTCATAGCGATTTTTATTCAGGTTTGGCCGATATCTCTATTGACTATGCTTAAATGGAGACTATTTTGAGAATTCCTTTCTTTAGATACTTTGAAAAATGTGTATTATCATTACAAAGGTTGAACTACTTTGGTTACAAGGCACGGATATTCTTCACGTCAAGTACCCAGCAATCACAATGAAATTATTATTGAGTA